AAATCTGTTCTAAAATTAGATGAAGTTGCTTTTGGGTACATATAAATGTACAAACAAACTGGCAAACCGATAAACCTAATATTACATTCAAAATATGAACATATGTATTAATATTTTGTGTTAACGATATGAAGCGCCTGATTGATATGCTAATAAAAAAATTGCTCATTAATAAAGATTTTATGAATAACACTTTTAAAACATTGCTTCAATTTACAAATTTGATGCGAATTTGATGAAAAAATTCTAAACTATTTCAATAACGAATTATAATTATTTTAGCTTGTATTTTCCTTTTAATATGTAGTAATGTTCAACGTACAACATGTAGCTACATTGGAAGTTGAAATAACTTAAAAAATGTTCTTTCCATCAAATTACAAACAGAACCAATAAAAAATTTTATCATAATATTATATTTATAGGCGTATTCTTATAACTTATATAACTTTGCAAATAAATACAGTTAATTTCTATAAAAAAAGTTAGTGCGTGCTCACATCGTCATCATTTCACATATTTTTATAAGTTTATCAACTAGATAAAACGTAACATTATAATATTGTAGGTAAGATATGTCATACAAGTTGATATAAATATACATATGTATGCAAGTATGGATACTTGGTTCGAAATTCCCTTTAGTATATAAAATTATATGCACTAAAATATCAACAGTTGTTTCTTGAACTGTTGAATAAATTGTATCGAAAACGTTATAATAATAATTCATGATGATTTACTGACACACACAATAAATTTCAAGCATCAAATAAATATTCTAAAAAGTATAAGAACAAACAAACATACAGATGATTTTAATGTTGTGGGAAATCGTGTTTTAATGCAAGTGCATTTTGAGAAGAAAAAGTTTAGTTATTTTCATTGTTCTATTGAAGAGTATAGTTATAGTGTATAGTAATAATAAAAGCATAAGCAACAAATAAAAATGTAATCATAATAATATTGAAAATAACATAATCGATATACTCGGAGAGCAATTATTAATTACATGTAGATATTGAATTAAGTAAAAGTATTCAATCTTGTAGAATTTACAATTTGGAACCTTCTCTCGCCTTCTAAATAATAGAATTTAAAAATTTATGCGGAATTGAAAATTTTTCGGTAATATTAGTATAATGCTCACTATATTCAGCGTTTTTAGGTTGTTGTCAAAATAGAATTATTTCAGAGATGTTTTTAAATTCCAACTTTCAGTCTTCAGTTCGATTTTAATTTGACTACTTTTTAAATTGTCTTCTCACCATTGTTTTTCCTTTTTTTGGATTTAGTATAGATTTTTGTTTAATATGTAAATTGATATGTATATTATGGGTCTTATTTTGATCGGCGTAGCGAATGAAATTTTTAGCGAATATGAATTTTTGCTATTATTCGCCTAAATTTTAGGCGAATAAGCTGTCAAATCTGTCGAATGAAAATTTTGTGTAACAAGCTTGGCGACTGAAACCAAAAATCAAATTAATACATAACTGTTTTTTGTATTGGTTAGTGATATAACGGAAAAACCTAATCTACGTTATCTGCAAAGTAAATTCGTAAAATTCTACAAATTATTGTAAAAAATGTTGATTGCTTAATATTAATTTAAACGTGAAAAAAACGAACCAAAAAAAAATCATGGATTTAAATAAATTAATGGACAACAACCCCGTAATTCCTAAAGAATAGCAAAATTCAATTGTTTTTGCAAAAAAGGAAAAACTATACACATACTTATGTATGGTGTTAACCTAATTATTTTCGGTAAGTTTTCTGATGTCTTGCGGTAACAACATTTTTGATCTGGATTGAATGAAAGCATTCGCCGATCAAATTTAGAGTTAAGCATGTAAAATAAAATAAAAAGTAAAACATTAGTTCTGTCCAAAATAGATAATTCATTATAATACATTTTAAATGTGTTATATATAACGAAACCTGTTCAAGATAGAAATGTGACAGCATAACATAATGTGAGTTATTGATATTTTTTTTACAGGAGAAAAATATATCATGTAGAAAATTTACAGGAGAATTGCCTTGGGTAGATCTATTTTGAGTAAAATATTAAACTATACTAGCATTGATGTCATTCACCGTAATCTTGAGCATAAAATTTCTCTGAATTCCTGTTGGCAGAGTAATGCAGCATGTAGTTCTAAACTTTATTTATATAAATTTTCTTTATATACGTATTAAAAATTTTAACGTACATATTTGATTCATATGTACATATGTATGTATAACTCCAAAAATATACCTTAGGTAATTTTGTTCATTTAGCTTGATTTTTGATCGTTTTTCAAAATTGCTAATTTTGTATGTGATCTTTATTTTTTGAACATTCAGATTTCTTTAGGTTTTTCTATATCCGACTTCTGCAATTTTGTTTTGTTTGCAAGGTTACTTTCATACAAATTCGTTCAAACAAAATGTTTTAGATGCAACATGCACATAAAATTTTTAAAATCTTTGCTTTCATAGTAAAAATACATATTTTGAAAATCCATTTGCTGTATATTTACCTATTATTCCAAGACTTAAATCAAATTGATAACCCAGAAATTTATAATATATGTACATATATCTGGAAGCGTATGTGTTTTGAATAATCTTTCTAAAATTTTAGCAATAGATAGTAACTCAACTTGCAGTTTAGACCTTTTATTTGATTAATGAATATGATTAAGAATGCGCATTATTTTCTTATCAAAATTATTAAATCATCATGTTTTAAAATTTGAAGGTGTTTTCCCTTTGTAATTTTGTAGATTTAATAACCGTCTTAAACTTCAAAAATAGATATCTTACTTTAGAGAAAATCTTATCTATAAAGTTGTTGTGATAATGCCATGCAGTTATAGCTGTGCAACAAATCTTGAAATTTGGTGTCATTTAAGTATTAACTAAATTAGAAATCACGTCTTTTTATAAAAACATATAGAAAATTTATGCAAATTTTTAAGTTTTCGCCTAAAACTTTTAATGTTATATTATCATATAAAATTGAATATTGTATACATATGTATGTACAAATTATATGTAGAAATTTTAGCCAATGTCTAAATAAAATTTTATACTTGCATTCTTACTTACAATTGCATTCATGATGGTATTTAGGTATGAAAGAACAATTATTTAAAGTAACTTGCGATAAAATTCAAATTGTTCGTCGATATCCGATTTCGCTTTATCCAAATTTTTACTTGAATCAAAATTGATTTTTAAAATTAGGCTTTTTCCGTTAAATTTGCATATTTTTATTGACCTTTATTTTTATTATGAAGTGTATCAAATAACACAATCTTATGAAGAGTTTTATAAAATTTAAAATACTTTATTAAATATAGGCAAGATAAGTTTCACAAGGTCTTATCAATACAACCATAGAATACTGATACAATGATTTTTCAAGAAAAATCTACGTCTTTTTAGTATCTTTTAATAACGATCATATTTCATTTTGATACCAGGTTGGGTTGGCAGTAAATTCGATGATGGCGTTGAAATGGGGGCAGCAAGTGTATATACTTCATAATCATTTATTTGAAAATGATAATCTCCGAATAACGTACTAAAATCAGCGTTAATTCCATCATATGAATGTGGTAAATTCGAATATGAGTCCGAATTTGTGTTGCAACAACTTGAAATAAGTAAGTCAGCGCCACCTCCAAATATTGGACCACAACTAAAAGATTTAAATTTTATGTTTTCTGGTGAAATTTAAAATGAATGTCTTACTCGGGATGATAACAAATAGCATATGGCTTCTTAATAATATCGAATTTGCATGGAGATTCATTATTAGAGTTTAACGTAAATAAAAATGCACGATCTGAATGAATGTAACCACCTTTTCGATTAGTTTTACCCCATGGAACATCCGTAAAACCACCACTAATTTCACCGTGGGTACCCTTAATATAAAAAAAGCTACATAAAATAAAAACTTAATTTACGAGAAAATTAAATTATTTCATACAATTGCTATAACAAAACATGGAAATATTCCATCACAATGTCTATGAAATGATGTTGCATTGAATCCATGGGTTGACGCACGAAATATCAATCTCCAACTTTGTTTTGGTACACCATACCAACCATTTAAAACTCCTTGCAGATGCAATTTATCTTTTTTTAATATTACAGAACCAGGAAACATATTCATCATGAGACGAGGCTGTAGACGTTTATCATTTTCCTGCAGTGGACCCCCAGGTAAGGGGACTGTTGGAGGTGGAATCGGTGTACCACCACCCATTTTATTTGAATTCAATGCAGCATATCGATACCTTTCTAATGATAGCTCCATTGGAACTGCCCCAGTGGGTTCTACTTCTTCAGCAAATACTTGACTGTCAATAAGTAGTAGCCTTACATATCCCATTACGCCGGAGAGATGTTGACAAACGCGAACTCTTTCCTCTTCAGTCCAATGGGCTGTTGGTTGTGTTACTCCAGCTTGATTTTTTGCCCACGCTAAAACGCAACGCCAAACGTTTTCTTCTTCTAAACAAAACTACAAAAAGAATTTATAGCTATATGTGTATATATGTGCACCATAATAATATAGCAGCATTTTTAATAGTATGTAAAAACGAGTAGTGTGAATCTTGAAACTTACATAATCTGATGAAATCAATTTTATCAAACCGTCCTTGGTTAAATTTAAAAATGAGTTAGTTTTCACAACTTCGGAAGCATTCTCACCAATGTATATAATACACCTTTCCATAAATGATGCTGCACATTTGGCTAAAAAATATCAAAACAAGCTTAAAGGATGCTCTAAACATATGTACAATATCATAGCAATTTTCTTTCGCTAAAAATTAAGCACATTTTCTTCTCCGCTCTTTATTACTTTTACAAACCCGCCCGATTTAACCTGTTCATTCGCATAAATCAATAAAAAAAAAACACTTCTCATTCAAGTCAGGTATTTAATCTTTATGTATTCAATTCTAAATTTCATATCATATGTTCGCCTTAAATCTAAATTTAAATTTTACAATTCAAATTATGGAAATTATTTAATATTACTTTTTGGTTGTTTTAACCTAACCTTAATCTTTTGTAGGATTAACATTTTGAATCAACGTTATATTATCTCCTTTAAGCATTATTCTACCCAAGTTTTTTCTTTGCCTCGTCTTGACATATACTTCTTCCGCATCATCTAGGACAAGATTCATATATTCATCAAATCCCACAATATGTCCTTCGATTCTTAGTGATATATTTTCATACAGCCAAACTTGAACTCTAGATCGATTTTGTAAATATCGAAAAATTAAGTTAATGGGTTGAACCATAACTTTTTGAACTTTTGTATTCCCTTTGTAAGACATGGTTACTTTATTTAATAATACTTTAATTTAAATGAAAATTATAATAAAAAAAACAGGATTAATAAACGTTTATTTTATTAATACACAAAAGACGCGGCTTTTAAATGTCACTTATCAACTTAACTAAAAGCAAAATGAAATAAGAAATACAAATGACATTCACAAATATCATTTTAACTTCTTCAAGCGACACCTATACTTCGTGTTGAAATTGCAAAATAAATAGCAAAGGAAGCAAGGCAAAGAAGTATTTATTCAATTTATTTTTTCTATGTATTCGAAAAATTTGACTTTAAAATGTGCGTAATTTTAATTATGAAGTAAATAGCAAAAAAAAATTTTATCAAAATATAATCATGATTAATCTTACCAGACGCCTTTTCATGAATCTGCATTACAGCTATTAGAAACGTACATGCATTATCTACCGAAAGAGTTGAAATTACGTGATCTTCGCAAGCTCCTCTTAGTTCTTCAACTCCCATATCTTGGGCTAATGTCATCATTTCGAAAACTCTTGAATCTTGCATAATGATCTAAAAAAATCCAATATTCTTATTTTAAAAAATTTACTTTTAAGCATGGTTTTTTTAAATTTGTAACTTGTTTCTATTTACTTTTCCAGTGTAGATATATAAAATGAATTGACGAAAAACATCTGGATTTACATTTGACAATCTTACAGGAGTCGGACTTCCTGGTGCTGCAGGTGATACAGTGCTACCCGGTATTCGACACAGCTCTCCACGTTTTGCTGTTTGAAAACTTTTACATCTAATAAAGAAGACATAAGCAGGTGGTAAAAAAAAATTTTTTTATGCATTAAAGATTAACAATATTATCAAATTCATTTTGGAAATATATACGATGTTTCATTGAATACTTATAGTCTTTATGTGCTGATTCTCAAAAACATCTTTAATAAAATACAGATATCGCATGGTCTTATAAATATAATTAGTTTTTTCTACTTTGCTGACATCTGTGTTTAACAGCAAAAAACAATTTTTATATTTCATTCAAATTCACAATTATTTGTAAGAATATTCACAATAATATTCACAATAAAACAGTACAGTCCTTTTTCTCTGAGAACAAGAACAACAAAATATAAGAAAATTTTAAAATTATTTTTTTTTTAAATTTTAATAACAGTATATTAAAATAAAAAAAAAAAAATAGTTGATTAATTAATTTTAAATAAGTTTTTTTTTTTTAAATTTAAAATTATTCAAATTTCAGTTTTTATTTTTTATGGAATGGAAACCAAAATGAAAAGTTGTAATTTTAGTTATAATTTAATTTCATAACAATATTAAACTTCTTCAATTAAAGATAAAAGTTTCTATCTGCAAAAATTTTTCAGTAAAGTTATCCTAATGTAAGTAGATTGAAAAAATTATAGTCCACGTCACGGGTTAGTTAATTAATCTACATTTTTGTAGTTTGAAGGAACTACTGTCGTCCCCCTATGAAAATCTTCGCGCCATAAATGCTTTATTAGAGGTTTCTTATAATGTTATGAACAAATAAAATTTCAAAAAAGAAAACCTTGTAATCAGCAGATTTATCGAAACCCATTTAAATCCTTTTATATTATCAATACAGAACTGAAATAATTACATATAGCTCACAGAATATATGTAAATGTACATGGTACCATTTTTGTACCTCTCGTTGTAACTATAATCGAAAACTTTAGATTCAAGTAAAATTTGGTATATACGAGTAGGTCCCTGTGTGTACATCCAATTCTTGCAAAAAAATTATTTTTTGCAATCAAAGTGCCACGGTATCAGTGCTGCCAAATTAATAAACCTAAATATCTTAATTTTTTTAAAATAAAATATACATTATTCGCAAGATTAAAAAAACAAATCTTCACGAACCCTTTTATATCTTCAATTGAAGTTAAATTGAAAAAAGTAGGAAACCAAAATATCACTATTTCAAATCGAACCAAATCAAACACAAAGGAAAATTAATGTCGTACAATGGCATATGACGTCATAAGCCTATGCTCAGCTAGTTAATGCGCCAAGTCGATTAATATGGAATTAATTGCAGCGAAAATTATGTAAAATTTTCTATGGAAGTAGCGTTACCATGCCTATTAAATTGACTTAATTTTGTGAACTTTGGAAAATATGGAAAAAGGTGTAAACAATTTAAATTCTGAAGAACTTAAATAGCATTAAAAAACCTAAATTTTGAAGATAAATCTTCACTTTTAGTAGCGCTGCAAGATATTCAAAAAGACAAAGATATCTTTTTCAAAAGAGAAAAAAACATTAAAATGAATTTGTTGTTTTTTTTTATTTTTGCACATCGTGAATTTCTCTTGTATTTCATTTACAAAATATCTGAGAGAAAAATTTGTCAAAAGAAATTTAACAAACATGAAATAAAAAATTTGGAAAAAAATATGAAAAACAGAGCGCAGTACGGGAAGTGAGAAAATCGAAATTCAAAATAAATTGTCAATTTTTTTTCTTTAATTTTAATATTTTTTTTTCCTTCTCTTTTACATTTATTTATTGAAATCCTTAAATGTTCAAACATCCCGCTTGATTTGTGTTCAAGAGCAAATAGATGGAGAATTCAGAAAAAAAAGTGAAACAATAAGAAGTGGAAAATGATTCAATCAATAAAACTGAAGAGCTATCAGGAGGGCACAAAAAATTTCGTAAGTTTTTGAATTTCATATATTGCCGTAAAGTTACCTGTTTCCCCACCATCCCCCTTATGTGGTTTTTAACATATTTTTTGTCGTTTTCTTTTTCAATTTCCACTTTGACTTACGATTGAAAAATTTTATTGAAAAGGAATTTTATTGAAATTGAAGGAATGAATTTAAAATTCAATTCAAAATACAAATAAACAATTTTTTTTTAATTTCACTTGAATAGAATTTTACTCTAATTTTTTGAAAAATAGCTGAAATTCCAAAAGAGAAACTTAAAACTGAATATGTCAGTTTTTAGACTATGTACTACTATATGAAATTTACAAATTTATATAAGATGCTTATAAAATAAGGAGTTTGTAAGTAAATTTAGATCCTCTTCCTTTATATTTCCTTCTTATTTACCAGTTGAGCAAAAGTTAAGTAAGTTGCATGTGTTCATGTGATGCAATTTTCCAATTAACAAAACCTAGTATATACGCGAGCTAGTATATTCAAGATTCTGAATTTTGTAACGTGACTTTTATTCTGTATAATGTGGCAAAGTAATACTCTGATATTATTGTAAGTATATTGAAAGATTTATGTTGTCATTATGTACTGAAAATCAAAGAGTAAGGTGATATACAACAGGTACTATGAATTTTCTATACAGCCGTCAAAATCACTGCTTCTGTTTTTCTTTAGTAAGATAATTTTTATTGAGTTTTTTTGTAATTGTTAAAGCTCTAAAATATTAATTTACCAATAAAATTATTCTTTTTCTGAGCAATGTCTTCGTATTCACACTTTTTCTATTAAGAATAAAGAAGTAATTATTTAGTCTTGACAACAAACAATTCACTAAGAATTAAAAATTTGAATGATTTTCTTATGCACAAATATAAATAAATTAATTTAAATTATTTAAAGAGTTAAGCAATAAAGTTGGGTCAAACCAATGGTTTGTATTGTAGCACTTTTCCCTTCAACAAGTGAAAATTCTGCTTTTAAATACAGTCTATTTGTACCTACCACACTATTAAAATTATTTTCATTCATATATAAAACTATTTCTAAGATTGCCTATATTTAGGATGACGCTTATATGCAGTCTTTGAAATAAAGCAAAAATTAATATAAAAAGGGGTTAACATATTGCTCGATTTTAAAGGTTAATTGTGTGAGTTAAGAAAAATAATTATATTTTTTAGTTTCACGGAACTTACCGTTAGCTTTTTGCGTTTATAAAAATTTGAAAAAACTTGCGGCTTCGGAAATATAAGGTGTCAAAAATTCAAATTTTACAAATTTCAAGAGGCGATAACTAGAGAGGGGGTGGAGATGGAAAAAAATTTTCTTCTAACGAAACGAACTATTTGTTAATGTCTAAAAGCCCGTAAATTTCAAGCTTCTACAGGCTGTGGTCTAGAAGAAAAACGACATCAAAAATTTGGAAAAAAAGGACTTTAGATAACGGTAAATTTGAACGGCCATTTTGTTTTTCTAAAGTTTAACTGTAGTATACCGCGCTAGGGGAAGCAAGTCGCTGCCTTTCTGCGTTTGAAAAATTTCAAAAATGCTTATGGTTTCATTGCAACAAATATTTAAAAAAGGCCATTTTTAGGCTTTTGGGGGGGTATAACTTCTAGAGGGGGGGAGATAGGTAAAAATTTTGTTCTACGGAAATAAGTTTCTAATGAAGATCTATGTACGTATGAAATTACAGCTTTCTATCTTCAAGGGTGTAGAAGTTTTGTAAACAAAAAAAGTGTCCACGGACGGACGGACGGACGGACGGACGGATGGACGGACGGACGGACGGACAGAGTGAAACTAATAAGCACTTTTTTCAAAAATTTTTTTGGAAAAGTGCTAAAAACTAAAATACAGAAGTGAAAAAAACCTGAATTTGTAATGGAAAGTAATTCATTTTAAATTTTTACTAGACTTCTATAATTTATTTCATATAAAATAATATTTAATTTAGATTTTATTAAAAAAACGAGTTAACTCTGTGATACACGTACGAATGAATGATTTTAAAAGCTTTATCATAATAATTGTCAAATTGTTTTACGGCCTTTGTTTTTTTTTTTATTTAATACATGCAATCTCTAATTCTTTTTTCGAAAATAATGATTTCAACAATTTCCAATAATATGACCAAAATATTTCTTGAAGTTTTATGACAGCTATCACAAGGGGTCGAAAAATTTTAGTAATTCTTAACATAACAACAACGCTAATAATTAAGTTGCTTATGTGAAATTTCTATACTATAGCTTCAATAAGTTTCAAAGTCGTATGGCGAGTACTTGAACTACTCTTTTGAACACCACATTAAAATCAAAAATAAGGTTCTGTAACTATTTAGTTACATAAATCATTTATTTAAATTTAAGTTATTTACAATTATGCGACGGACGGATAAACCGACAGGC